GTAACGTACGTAACTAACGTAACTAACGTAACTAACTAACGTAACGTAACTAACGTAACTACGTACTATACGTACTACGTACTACTACTCTCTCTCTCTCTCTCTCTCTCTCTCTCTCTCTCTCTCTCTCTCTCTCTCTCTCTCTCTCTCTCTCTCTCTCTCATCTTCAATTCAGGCGCTAGCTGCTATTAAAATTGCTTATGTGTATCTCTCTCTGTTTGCAGGGAACCTATTTGCATTTGTGCTATTTTTATCACCTATGTGGGTATTCGACGCCATCTCAAAGCTCTGCTTTTCGATCATCAAAGCACATCTGACCTCATGTAATGGCTATTGATAATTATGTTTTGTTTCTGTTTTAACACAGGCCTACATTTCGAAGAATCATAAGGAATGGTTCCACTGAGCAATTCTCTGGCTTGCCCTACATATATGCCCTTTTAAACTGCTTGATATGCCTCTGGTATGGCCTCCCTGTTGTGACACAAGGCATGCTCTTGGTTGCCACTGTCAATTCAATTGGGGCGCTTTTTCAGTTGGTTTACATATCTCTCTTCATCACTTATGCTGAGAGAAGGAAAAAGGTACTTTCTCTTGTTTTTTTTGAACATTAAAAAAAAAAAAAAAGGGTACTTTCTCTCAATTCTGGATTCTTGTTAACAACTGAGGTATTTGCTGGTTGATGTCTTTATTCTTTTTCTTCCTCCTTTTTTTTGTGGGTGACAGGTGAATATGTTGGGCCTATTGCTTGCTGTTTTCAGTTTATTTGCAGTCATTGTTTTTGTTTCCCTGAGATTCATGGGTCCCTCACTGAGGCAGTTGTTTGTTGGCTACTTGAGTGTGGCTTCGCTTATATCCATGTTCGCTTCCCCATTATTCATCATTGTAAGTCTACTTGGATGCCTGGCCTTATTTGGTTTGGTATGAAAAAAATTTAAAATCTGCTGGTTTAGTTGATGAATTTCTGAGTCATTAATTCTAGCTGCTATATTTAATTTCTCAACTACAACAGCATATATACGCGATGATAGTGGTCTATGTTTAGCTGTCTCTTAATCCTCTTCCACATTAACGAGCTCGTAATTTCCTTGTGTGCTAGAATTTAGTGATACAGACAAAGAGCGTTGAATTCATGCCGTTCTATCTATCCCTGGCAACCTTTTTGATGAGTTTTTCATTCTTTGCATTTGGATTTCTTAAGCATGATGGTTTCATTTATGTAAGTATCTTCAACTTTGCCTGTTGGTGTATCTTCTTTATACATCAATATTAGCTAACACTGTCACATATTAGGCTCCTAACTGTTTACCTGTCTTTCTACTGATGTGTACATAATGCACACACACAGAGACAGTTACACATGCACATGTACATATATAGTGTCTTTGCAACTTTTATGTTCCTCGAATGGTGAATTTCAGGTCCCAAATGGGATTGGCTCTTTGCTTGGGGTGGTGCAGCTGGTTTTGTATGCCTATTACAGCCGTAAATCAAAGGATTCAGAAGAGCCCTTACTTGCATCAGAGTAGTGAGTCTATTAGCAATCAGGAAACAGGTATGGTAAATATGCATTAATTTGTATTTTATTGAGCATGGTAGTTTGTATGATTGAAATCCCTTACCGGCTTCAGTATTATTCCTTCATGACTGTCAATTTGTTCCTAGCTCTTGCTTGTTAATTCTTGAAATTTGAAATGGCATCGTGCAGTTTGCATAGAATTTACTGTGGGTCGGGTCCAACGTACAAGCTATCTTTTCACATGGGGCATCATGATAACCAAATCTCCATATTGGCCTTTGGTAGTGTGTGGGTTTCTGTAAGATGGTATCGTCGAGAGCAGAAATGCATCAAATGGAACCTTCAATGTATGCAGAAAGCTACGACATAGATTGTACGAAGAAAAATGCTGCTGAGAATTCTAAATACTGAAGTAAATGGTGATGCTGAATTCATTGCTCAAATCCTGAATCTTCTTTGATAAACACAGTCAAATGCCAGTGGCTTTAGCAGCAGTTGGAGATGGTTTGGTTTTATATGCTTTGGTATTGAAAGCCATGCATGTGAGCATAGGCTGTGGCATTTTGCGTGTTCTGTATTGCAGTATTGTTTGCATTCAGATAATTTGTTTCACTCATAATCCTTTGGGAGGTTTATTGTGGGACTGCAGCTAAGGGGACAATTTTACTTCAATTAGTGAGACATGGATGTTGATTCGAAATGAAGCAGATTGGTTTAGTTTTGCCATCCACTATTTTCCAAGAAACAAGGGCAATAAATATTCAATAGAAGCCTTAGTTTTCTTATACCCTTTGGTGAATGAATCCTATGACCGCACCTGTTCTGTTCAAACAGTGAATGCAACAACAATGAGCCCAGAGTCGAAAATTTATTCACGAATGTAACTTTTCCTTGGTATATATAAGCACATTTATCAAATGTTCCCTCGAGTCAATCCAGGAACAATACCTTCAAATATGGCTAATATGCATCCTATGTAGTCTAATAAGGAAGCAGTTGAGGAGATTATAACATCACATGAAAGGTCTTGAGTGGCACAAATAAATCTCTAATGGATCTGATCAATTTCTATATAATTTGGAATAAATTATAGTGTTTTCTTTTATCAAAGTGTTTTTTTATGGGTAAAATTGTGAAATGGTCTTCATGTATACCAACTTATGAGTGCAAGTAAGCACGGATTTATGACATCCGAGTAATTGGTTTGTTGGAACACCAATATTCTTGTGAAGATAACCATGCCATGAGTTTTTTATTGCCCAATGAAAAACTAAACGTTCTTCGTTTTGGTTTTGGTGAGCCTTGCCAGCACAAATAAGCTGCCAATCCAGTGTTAACAGAAAATAGGGATGGCCTCACTGATCCTTTCTAGCATATAATTTAATTGACCCAAGTATGAGCCCCTTTACTTTACTTGAATTACAGAGGACTACATATTATACCCTTTTTGTTTTTTTCTCTTTTTGATTGTCCCAGTATTGATGTTTTCATAATTACCCCATCTGAAAGTGCTCTTTGGTTAATTGAAAGGTATAAGAATAAGGAAAAAGAGAGAAAAAAAAAGATCCATACTCTTTCAATCAATTGACTGTGAAATCAGTTGATCCCAGTTGAGATTTAACATGAACATTGTAGGTTGCACAATCATGCTGTAGTCTGAACTGCATCACAACAAGAAGCTGTTGGGTTATATTAGTTGAAGTTTGAACTCCGTACCTTGTAAAATATGCCAGAGTATCCATGTACATAGAATTGAATTCTAGAAGCTATTGATTCTTTAATTGCATTTTAGATTATGAGCTCTTTTGAGACAAGCATGGTAACAGGAAAAGCATGTGTGGTTCTACTAAATGATTTAAATGCTTGGTGCATTATATATCTGGTAGTATACATTGTAACAAAAACTAGCTCTTTGGAAGCTAGGAAAACTTACTCCACACTATTATTCAGGCTGCTTGAGGGACAAACTTCAGAATTCGAGAACGTTCAACCATCAGCATATCCACTTTATTTATAGAGAATCTTGCCTTTCTTAATTGAGGGTTACTTGTTTGAGGACAACTGTAATCAATGCCGTTTGTCATGGATCTTCTTATGTCTAGAATCCCTAGATGCATACATCTCTATTCCATACTAAGATGAGGGAAATATAATAATATATGTTTGCTATTAGTTGCTTTAATGGTCAAAGGTTGGGGCATGATTCCAAACATGCATGAGGGAACAAAGACATCACTTAAAATCTGTAGCAGCTCATGTTACAAACTTAGAACCAAGGTCAAAATACTCAGTTAAGGCTCAGGACTCAGCCCCTGCCTGAGCAGAATAGTCCGAGCAGTGTACAGGCCTTAAAAAAAAACAAATAGTAAAAAAAAGGAAAAATTCAAAGAAATAAAGGAAGAAGGAAAATTGATTTGGGGGAGAGAGAGCAGTTGAGATGATGGAGAGAGATGAAAACAGGTTGTGCAGATTTCCTCCCCCTTTATGGAGAGAAGGAAATGAAAATACAAGCGAAAGAAGAAAATGGCCTTTGGGGGGGGGGGATTTCCACTTGCCTCATAGAGAAAATAGTTGGCAAATTTCTGCTCCCTTTAACACTGAGAGAGAGAGAGAGAGAGATGAAAACGGTGGGCAGATTTCAGAGAGAGAAAGAGAGATGAAAACGGGGGGCAGATTTCAGAGATAGAGAGAGATAAAAACAGGGGAGCAGATTTCAATCCCCCTTTTAGAGATAAGAGGTGTGGAAAAAGGGTGCAGATATCTAACCCCTTTTAGAGATAGAAAGCGAGATGAAAAAAAGGGGGCAGATTTCTGCCCCCAATTTAGAGAGAAATAAAATAGAGGAGACTGTGCCCTCATTTCTATTTTATTAATAGCGCTGAGTTTTTTAATGCTGCTCACATCTGCCACCAACCATCACAAAATAGTGTGTGTACACTCAACAGCCTTAGTTTAAGAAATAGTATAAAATAAAAATATATGAAACCCTCTCAACATTAGGGTAAGAGGCATCAAAGTCACTTTCTCGTGTGTATTTTCTTTAGGAACACCACATGGTTTATTTTTCATTGGCATAATCTGTTATGTCATAGTTGTAATTTAGACGGTCATCATAGATGGCAATCCACACTTCATGCTGTTGTAATTCCAAACTAGATTATGCTCATGTTAGAATAGTCTGCCCATCTAGGCCATTTACTTAACTAACTAGCAACATTCACTATTTGCTCACAACCTGAAAGCCCTCTAAGAACTTTAGAATTATCTCAGATATTTTCACTTTTGTCAGTTCATGGCTCATTTTCAAAGATTGAATCCCTTAAGATGCAACAGAACAGAAGGAATGCCTGTAATATAATCTAAGGCTTCAGTGTCGAATAATCAGACTCTGATTTATCAGTATTGCCATCAGCTCACGAGGGAGCAAAGAATTTTCAAGAAGTTGTAATTACAACTATGACATAACAGATTCTGTCAATGTTCATCCAATATTGTTAACTATAGATCAGATTCATAGACTAGTGTCCTGCCAAAACATGATCTTTAGCAGGATGCTAGTCATTGTACTTGATAGAATGTTGCAAAGAAGTTGTGATGCTCAAGTAGATTTGGAGCAAAAATTTCTGATATTAGTAATTGGTTAAAATATTTGTCTGGTTTGGGCAAGGGGATTTTCAAATCTGTAGATTTTAGTTATTTTCTCTGTAGAAGACATTTAAATAGAATCTTGAATTATCTTATACATGGTTATCACAGTTGACCTCAGTATTCAACTCAAGACTGATCCAAAAAATGAGTCAAATTGTGAGTTGGAAGGTTTCTCATAAATGTAAGTCAGATTCGCAAGAAAAGAAAATAACAAAGGTGAAAAATAGCATTGGAGTATGAAGAAAAAGAACGCAGTGGCTTGCGTTGGTTGACTTGACAACTTCTGGATTTTTTAGAATTTGGGTAGCCTATAGTTATCTGGTTCGAATTTTGGTCCTCTCGAGTCAACTTTACCTAGTCTAATTGATTAAACAGTATCATAAGTAAATCCATAACATATCAAAAGAAAGTACGTCTTATGATAGGACTTACGGGGAGAGAATATGTGTAAAAGGTTAAATACTTCATCGCTCATGGCTATTTTGTTATTTTTATGCTCATGTTCTCATACACCACACAGAATTCCAAGGGCAGATCACTCATGATAATACTTTTGAAGATGTGAGATGCTTTCTTATTTATGCTTTATTAGAAATCAAAGAGTGACTATCTTTGCTGTCATTATGTTGTCTTCGTTGTCTAAGTGCCAATTGAGCTATAGTAAGTAGTTGGCATAGTTGCGGGTTATAGTGGTATTTTTTGCTTGGAAAATATAAGCCATTGCAATCCAGACAGAAGCAATTGAAAATTTTGGATAGAAATTGAAATTTGTGAGAACACTTCGAAATAAAACAAGGTATATTTGATAAGGGTTTGTCTACTATGAGACCATTTACTTTTCGTACAAGGAGATCATAATTATTCTTAACCCTTGGATATGATATTTAACGGATTGAAATGTGTGACAATATTCGAGAAATTTTATTTTGGATATTTTGCCTAGTTAATGACACATCCCCGATCACTCAATTTTGCATCTAGCAGTCAATAGTTGTGATCTCCTTGTACAAAAAGTAAATGGTCTTGTTGTATACATTTCAATTTGATAAACCTAAAAGCGATCGTTAACTAAGTTTATATGTAAGGATGATAATAGAAAACTGTGATCTCAAAGGGCAGTTTTAGATTTTTTTTTTTTTTTAACCTGGAATAGATGGTGTCATGTAAGGTTCTTTGACCACCACAGAAGTCAAACAAGTATATGTAGATGCCTCAAAAGTGATAAGACTTTTAAGTAGTTTCTATTTTTTATTTGCAGTGTTTCTAAACTCAGACTTGGGTATGAAACCAGGCAAGGCCCTTGTGTGAGTCAGTGAGTCAGAATCAGCTTGGATTTAAGAAACCTTTGGGAACTGGTAAGCCTTGGCGGGTTATCAAGATTTTCACTGCCTGGTTGAGGTAATTCGCCTAAGTCTGAGTCAAACTAAGCAAGTTTAAAACACTGGGTTTTTGAGATAAAACTTTATTTTTTGGGAGATTATTTTGGAAGTAGCCTTGAGAAGGCTTTGTATTATTTATAAAAACCTAATAGGGGGCCTTAAAAGGTGGTTATTAATAGATTACTCCAGGGACCGTACGTGAATGTATGGCATCTCTTGAGCATCTGCCAAAAGACTACTCCGGGGGCCTTAAAAGCGATTTTTAATAGATTTGAACGCTGCGGTTAAATGGAGGGATCGGGTCAACATATGGTTGAAGTGAGGGTTACGTGCCTGAGTTCCATTGGTTTTATAGAAGCCAAATGGGATAGAGATCTGATATATGTGAGTGTGGCCCTTCTAGCCACCATCTTGGGTGTTTCTAAACAGTGTAGTCAGTAGTGTAACAATGAGTGATGCCCAAGATATCTTTAGGGCTGAATGAAAAATAGGGTGTCTTGAACAACCTAGGGAGATTAAAAGGCATAAAAAAGTGGTCATGTCTTTAATTAATATAGCAAATTCTTTTTCCTTTGTGGTGGCGTCTTCTTTTTTTTCTTTTTTTTGTTTTTTTGGGGGGGTAACTTTGGTGCTCCTACAGGAGCATCATGGAGTGGTGCTCCCCGACCTCAAAAGCCACTTACGAGGTGGGTGAGAGACTAAAAAGAGTTCCAAATTAGTCTCCTTCATTCCAAACTACCTTAAAAAATAAATATGATTTGAAGCTCTGAAAATGCTTCAACTCTTTGCTGCCCCAAAATCAAATATGGGCAATCCATTTGAAAGGACAGTAGATCTAAGGCATTCAAAGATTCTTTGGAGCTCCAAACCAAAATTTATCCAGGGGAGCATGTTTGAATATAATTTTGAGTTTTTTGGAGTTCCACACCCATATAAGAAGTTCTTCGTAAAGTGGATGAGGACCATTTTTTGGTGCTCCTGTAAGAGCACCAAAAATTTTTCCTTTTTTATTATTTTAATTTTGTTTACCAGAACAGAGGCAGCATCTGTTTTATTATCATAAGCTTCCGTAGAAATCATCTAGTCAAGCAGTGACTTTACCTAATAATGTAAAACCTTACGACTCTATGGTTTTCCCTCTGGTGTAAATGGTTTCTCCTTTTTGCAGATTTCAGCTTTTGTATAATTCAGATGTATGATAAACGTCTTTTTATTTGTAAAGCAGCTTATCAGAGGTGAACTATATTGAGGGAAAGTGTGCCTTGAGGAGATTTCATCCCTTGTTTTTCTTGAAAGCTGTTCTGTGAATTTAGTTATACACTTTTGCAACAATTTTGATTGCCAATAGTGGTTAAACTTTCATTAATATTGTTGAAAGAAATGAGGATGGCACTGCACAGCACATTCCTTTCTGAGTTCTGTTCTATGTTGCTAGTATACTGATATGAGTGTCAGAGTCTGACATGGATAAAATTGTTGGAAAACAACAATTTCAAAATTTGTCTTTGAGAGGTGCTACATCCATACATCATTTAGAGGTAGCTTTATAATGCTAGGATACTGATATGAGTGTTAGATTCTGACATGGATAAAATTGTTAGAAACATGTATGTCAAATTTGTCTTTAAGAGGTGATACATCTGGACATCATTTAGAGGTAGCTCTTTAAGAGGTGATACATCTGTACATCATTTAGAGGTAGCTCATATTGGATTTTAAATGACAGTAAACACTCTGATATTTTTCTTTTTGATGAAACTTCCATATTAAAATTTCAACAAGAAAAGTTTAGCGAAGTATCTATTCATTAGGTTTTGAAATTTGTTCAGTGAGCAAAAAACGTTTGACAAGTCACTTTGGGGAAATCCCCAAGCATGTGGATATAATGGAAATCTTCATGTGGATGTCATGGAACAACTAATAACTGAATCCCAATATGCATGGGCCTATGAAGGCGGACATACTTGTAAAAAGAAGACAGTCAAACTGGAAGAATTGAACCTAGGAGGAGGAGGCAAAAAAGAAGACAATAAAATGCCCTCAAAAGAAAAAGCTTTTCATGAATTTAAATATGTTTATGCTCTTTTGATTAATATAAGGATCTAATTGTTTAAAACTAGAGCTTGAGCTTCCAATGAACCTAGTTTTCATCCTATTCCAACTCCTAAATGGGGAGATGCAGCCTAAAGAAATTTGACATATTGTGATTTCCAGATGTTATTTGCAGGCCAAAGTCAAGGTGCTCATTTGCTGAAGACTTGCTTCATAGTCTTCCCACTAATGCGTCTCGAGGGAACACTGCTTTCTCCTACATATCTATCCATGACCATGCATTCAAATCCTTTTTGCAGTTTTGCCTGACGTAATTCAGGAGTTTAGGCTCGAATTTCCATAGCTCATAACCTCTTAGGAGACTAGTCCTTTTCTAAGTCCATTATCTTCCTAGTGTGCAATCCCGTCACATTTCTTCCATCCCTATATTTCCCCTCTCATATGAATCCTTCTGTGGGATACCATAATCACAGGCTTCAACAGCTCTTTCTTAAGGTATCCGGAGACAAGGGTCAGAACATATTCCGCCTTTAAAGAATATGGTATGTATTTTTCCTCTTCTGCAGTGATGCTTTTTCGTCTTTTACTTTTGTAATGGACAGCACTGCAAACTGTCATTTTCATGGATAATGAAAGTGTCAGTATTCTCTTTCACATTTCAATGTTAGAATCCTTCTGAGATATTGAGTTTTTTCAATTACCCGATCAACAAAGAAGTCCAATAGTTGATTTGATCCAATAATTGTGGTTAGGGCCACCAAAACGCCAATGTTTCTGAGGATGGAGTTCCTCTAGTTAACTTAAGGCTTCGAAGAGTACACGTTGAAACTATTTTAGTGGTTTTCTTGGTGCATTGGGTTGAGGTTGATTGAGGATTCACATATCGCTTTTTAAAAACCACGTACTGCTCTTCCTATGAGAGATATTTGGATGCAGTTTGATCATGGATATTTAGCAGTGTGGAACACTGGAAAATGTACCATGACTGAGAATTGATAGACCTGAGATCAAGTTGGATGAACTGTTGATTCCTTACCCCATTTGGTTCCTTGGAAATGAGACTCCTGGGGAAATGTGTATCCTGGAATTGGTACCTCCTTGAATTGGCATTTCCTGGAAGATCGGTTTATATTGCTTGCCTAGCATCTGGTAGAGACCTGGAAGATGGGTGTATGTTGTTTGTGTAGCATCTGGCAGAGACCTGGAAGATGCATTTTCACTATTTGGATTATCTAGAATATGCATCTTCAAGAAATTAAAAAATTTTCATTGTATCATTATTTTTTTAAAAATAACCATTCTCAATGTTGTGATTATTGTATATAAGAATCGTTTTGGTCCTTTTAATGGTTGTGCAAGTGAGGAATAAATGGCAACATTGCCGAGTTTATAATATTATAATATAATATAATAATATTTAAACAAGGGTATGATTTGTAAAAAAGGCTGAGGCCCTAAACAATCAAAGTAAGGCGCGCCTTGAAATAGTGTGGAAAGATGTTATTTCAGTACCGAAAATCTTTGTGATGGGGTAAAAATTTATTTTCATCTCCAAATATAAAATTTAAAGCTTCAAAAATAATTGTACATTGAGCAAATCTGTGAACACTTGATAATCTTGAAAGTTGACGGTCTAGAAGATGCATAACAAGATGCACTATTTCTCATCCTTGAAATCCATTTTTTTCTCATGTTCATACATCTTGAGGTCAAGATGAGCAATTTGGGCATTTTTGGGCATCGAAACAACCCCTTCTAGTGAATTTTTGATATTCGCCTTAATTTAATTGCTTAGGGCCTCAGCCTTAAGATAATATAATATTAACATATGATATAATATTAACATATTAACATATAATATAATATTAACATATTAAGATAATAACATAAGGAAAAAGTTTATATAAGGATGCAACCTTATAATGTAGAACTACAGAAGCACCTAAAAAATCCGTCGGAAAAGGTAGTTTTAATGTTGGAAAACCCTTTGATTGATCATCTCGACATCGAGATGTATGACCATGAAAAATAGTGCATTTTACAACATATTATCTACACTGTCCATTTTCAAGATTTTCATATGTTTATAGATGTACTTGATTTTAACCATTTTTTTAATTTAAAATTTTATAATTAGATATAAAAATAGATTTTGAGATAATCCTAAGAACATTTTACATCAAAATTATATACCATGATAAAATTTGAAGGTGCACCTTATCTCTACAGCTACGGATGCATCCATACGCCAACTGCACCCATAACATAATATTATAATAAAAATATATTTAAATGATCACTATTCCAATAATATATATTTTAAATAATATTACTAATAACAATAATAGTAGTAGTAGTTGTAATAATATTAATAATAACAATAATAACATTTGGGTCTATGCATTTCACTTTTGATTTTCAGGAAATGTCAATTCCACATATTTGGGTTGAATTGACATTTCCTGAAATTTGGCTTAAATGAGGATACATGACTTCCAATAGAAATGTCAATTTCGTCTTCTGAAGAAACCAAAGAGGTCAGTCTGGGTTGTTTCCATGGAAATGTGACTCCAGGAGTCTCATTTCCGGGGAACCAAACGGGCCCTAAAAGAAGTGGATATAATTCATTGCAGAAGCATGCAAAACCCACCTATAGGAAGGTAAAGTGGTTCACTCTATATAGCTCCTTCATCCCAAAGACATCTGCGAAATGGATAACTATAAATGAATTCTTTAGACCCAAGTACATTTATGGAAATTCATCGGAAAGCTTGGAGCTCCACTTGTTTTTGAGGTTTGATCTGCTATGGTTCCATGGATGTTTTATGCTGATCGTCTTGCATGTTGGGACTTAATCAGGAGAGAGATTGTACATTTATAACCTAAAGTTCAGTTCTAAGGGTGGAGCCATTTCCAGTTCAGATGTTTGTATTCTGCAGAATTATTAAATAGTACTCTCCATTGCATTGAGCATTATCATCGACCTTTAATTATGTGCTCATCCAGCTCTAAAATGGTATTAGGGAATAAGATTGCCATCTAGAGCATAATGTGCCAGCAACCTCAGCGTTGAGATATCACAAATGCTGCTGCTGTTATAGAGCATGACTTGCCACAGAGGTTTAACATGGTCTTCTTTATAGCATATATATGCTAACGGGGCCCTATGAGAAAAGGTGGGCAGTTGATGGAGTTGATCACCATTAATGAGTGAACTTGTTCATCTCGTTTTTAATGATTTGGAACCGTAAGATGTTAATGTCCACAATGTATTTGGATGAACTTAAATTGTCTGACTTGGGGTCTTTGATACGGGTTAATTTGGATTCGTTTTCCCATTCCTGTTCAAGTGGGATGCTTTACAACTTTTCTCTCACTAGGGAGCTGTGAGTTGTTGTGGGATACTAATAATTCCTATTTTGACCATAAAAATGTCATACACAAACTGATGAACTGAAATGGGCAAATGAACAATAGCAGGAATCTCATTGCATTTACTTCCAGTATGACCTGGTTTCACACCACATTGTCTGGGAATCTCACTGGGTTTGAAGAGTTGGAAAACCCGTTTTGCGGAAAGCCATAAAAGATCTTGCGGCAATGAACAAAGTTGCATATGTTAGTGTGTTTGGCAGGATACAGTTTAGAATTTAGTTGGTATTCAGAATAGAGCTGGCCTCAGTTTTGTCAAACTAAAGTACTCCCATGTGCTATATAACTAACATAAAATGGCAGTGGAGTCACAGATCAAGTTGTAGATATCAAGTGTTCTCATCATGCTGTGATGTCTGATGCACTAAAGTGCATCAAAATGTTCAAATAATGTTTTAGAACTGCTCCAATAGTAGGAAACCATTTAGTTAAAATCTAATAGTTGCTCGACGGCATTACACTCAAAAGGACAAAGAAGAAGAGAATCCTTAAAAGCCTGATAGTCCGAAGTCCGATTGCTGATCATGCCATCAAGAGATCAAGGGTTATTTACAGAAGGTCCCTCAATGTCGTCGCACCAGCAGGTTTCTCCTGCAAATTAGACAGAAACTCACCACATTAGAAAACCTTACAGAGATTCTGAGCTATATAGTAGCAATGGCTTGTTTACTGCCACTTTGAACAAGCCATGCTTATCTGTCATTAATTGTATGAAGGAAAACTCACACAGGGTGTCTCTCTTTCTCTCTCTTCCTCTCTCTCACACACGCACCCACACACATACACACACGAATGAAACTCTCATAAAGGACGCTGTCTCTCTCATGTATATGAAAGATAATTAGGGCCACCCTCTTTCATCTGAAGGGAAACGTGCATAGGGGTCTCTCTCTGTTTCTCTCAAGGATAAACCAAAATCAAATGGCTTACTTGGCCGATGGTCTCTTTGTAGTGTGGGAGGGGGAAGCCGCGCTCATCGTAGAGGATGAGTCCACTAAATGTCGGAAGCTCACACTTCTCCCCCATCAAAATGGGTCGCTGCCATACAGGCGAGATTGTGTTGCCAACCTTCTGTTGAAGCTCACCACCTTTCTCGAGAAGGGGAGGTTGTGCCTGCGGCCCCCCTCTTCCTCTACTGCCACCCCACCTAAACAACACCCTTTTTAGCATCCCCCATCCAAATGCTCGTCCCCCCTCCATTTTCTCTTCTATTTCTTCTCTACTGTTTGTTGCCACCACCCTCCTCTTTGTGGTGGTGCAAAGGCATATCAGTGCCACCCCCATGCAAACCCACATCAGGCTTTTGCTCCCCCACACCCACCCCTGAAGTTCCTGTTGTTTCACTAGCCTATGCCAAGCTTCCATTATACTCTCTCTCTCTCTCTCTCTCTACTACCGTGGGCTATTGCTAGTTAGTAGTAGAGAGAGTGGAGGAGGTGGT